CAGCTTCTGAGAAGCATGCATTCTTCTAGACAGCACCCAGGAATACAGAGAACAAGCCACCTGCTTGATGAGTCTTAGGGAATTCTGATCATAAATTCCACCTGCCTTCCTTATCACCAGTTTCAATGTCACCTAGCACTTTTCATGCACTACCCACACCCCAGCACCACAATCCCATTGTCAAGAAGGACTTTCCATTTCCCTTTCCTGTGCAGCAGGAAATGGCCTTGTATCTTATCTTTTTTCCTCCCTCCTCTATGGCTTATATAAAGTAAAAACTTGATTCTGGTCATGTTAAGTCTTAAATCAAAACTCAGCTTCGGAAATTCCAAGAAAAAACAGGCTCCTGCAAAACTCTAAAGTGTTAGCTTTTTTATTACGAACTTTGGAAACTCAATACTGAGTAATGACTTCCTTGCTCCAGACTATATTTACCTTTTCCCTACAGTAAATTAATGCTTCAATGGGTAGAGATCAGCAGAGCAAACAGGAAAAAAAATAGAGGTTATCTGAAATCAAGAGTATAGTAATTTAATATTTTTTAGAAGTACCCCTACAACACTAAACAGTCTGGAACAGTATGGAGCTATCAGAGTTTCTGGATAGCAGAGTCAGATACTTAAGGAAGGAAGGTGTCCTTCCTTCATGTAACTGACATCTACTTGTGGCTCCTGACCTCACCTTGGCAGCCTGGTTTACCATCCTAGCTTTCCTGGTTTTACTTATCTGCTTCTTCCCCGGCCCCCTCCTCTCTTAATCCTGACCCTGTGTTTCTGTCCGTAGTCTGACAACCTGACCCCAGTTCTTGACTATACCATTTGCTCAGTGATTTATTTGTGATCTTTAGTATGGACAACTCCCCCAAGTGATTAATCTTACCACATCATTAAAGCACAAAGGACCTAAGCCCCACTCCCAACAACATCGCCAGATAATCACTGCAACTTTTTTTTTAAGTCAAAAAAAAAAAAAGTGAAAATTCTTAACCTTGGTACAAATTACCACCCTGCCAAGGCAAACACAAAACTTGCAGAAATAAGAGGGTCCTTCTGACACAACACTCATCCCTGTTTAGGGAATCAGTATAGCCTTACTTGAAAAAAATGCCCAGGAGAGTACAGAGTACACCAGAGCCTCATAAAATTTAGTATGGATAGTCCTGAGATAGATTTCTTGTTTTTTTTAATGAGTGGATAGCTACAAGTATGTGTAATGAATTCTATAAGGCATAAAAATAGCATTTGGCATAAGAAACTGAAAACATATATTATGACTATCTAATATGAATATATAACTCAAGATAATATTTAATGATATGCATAACTGTTACGGTGCTACATAAGAATTGAAACTGGGCTCAGTGATGAGCAGCAGTTTGTAACTCTAATTACTACTCTATGGCCATGCCAAGAACGTCCAGGGTCAGTTAGAAAAGTTAACAGGTAACTCAGTTGGGGATCTAGGTGGGCTAGGCCTTCTTGATTCTTCAAAAGAGGTGGCTATTTCCTGCCTCTGTTGGAAGCCAAGACAGGAATAACACTAGAAACTAGACTCAATTAGGCTTAGGAGGACGGAAGGTGATAGTGGTGTTGAGATCTCACTTACCACTCTCGTGGAGAAACCACTGCCCTCTTCGTGGAGTGGTGAAAAGATCAGAATCAGTACACTCCTTCCTGACAGGAGGAAGAAGTGAAAAGTGGGAGATAATGTGGGGAAAGAGAACTGAGATTTCACTCCGAGTTCAAAAATTTGGGCTTCCCTGGTGGCGCAGTGGTTGGGAGTCCGCCTGCCGATGCAGGGACCATGGGTTTGTGCCCCGGTCCAGAAAGATCCCACATGCTGCAGAGCAGCTGGGCCCGTGAGCCATGGCCGCTGAGCCTGTGCATCCGGAGCCTGTGGTCCGCAACGGGAGAGGCCACAACAGTGAGAGGCCCACATACCGCAAAAAAAAAAAAAAAATTAAAGGTTTTTCTAGAGGGCTCCTAGTGATCCCTACTAATGAGTCCTACTACTAGGAAGATCTTCATGCACTAGGAAGATCTCAGTTTAGATCCCAACTCTACCAATTAATATTTTAGAAACTTACAAGTTATCTAATTACTCCCAAGCATCAGATTTCTCTTGAGTAAAGTTGTAGTGATGTTACCTACCTTATAAAGTTCTCTTAATTGACAAAATATATTGTAAATGCCTAGGACAAAACAGTTACTCAAAAAATTCCATTCCACTTCTTCCTTCTTTTCCTAGATATACTAAGTGGTAGAACTTGAGACAACAGTTTTGCCTTAAAATATTGCCTGAGTTTCTAATATCCCCTCAGTGATTCATGTGGATTAGTGAAGAAGCTCTCCTGAGAAGACCGAGAAATAGAAAAGCTTTCACTGATTCATCCAGTAGTAAGACCTATTTAATCAAGTTGCAGAAAAATACAAGAGGAGGATCCAAGAAAGTGTTTTACATGAGCTGCTTTGGAAATGAGCACATGTGGGTGAAACGCCACAATGGAGGCCTGGATAGAGCCAGGCTCTGGAAAATGGGAGAAAAGATGAGAGATGACAGAGAAGTGAGAAAAGGTGCTCTCGTGTCTGGTTCTTTTCCTCTTCCCTCCTTCATCACCTGCCTCTGCAAGAAAGTTTGAATGCAATGGGGAGATGGGTAAACACTATTGGTCCTATGATGAGGCCTACCAAAAATGGGGCTCCTTCTAGGAAAAATCCCAGAATGGAGGGTTTGAATAAAATAAATGGTATGTGCAGGATATACTTATCTCCATACTTGCCATGCATACGGGCAGCTTGGTAGTAATGCTGCTAGGCAGCAAACTAACCAGTTGGAAATAACTTTGGGGGATACATCTGATATCTGGGAGATGAGTGGGGACCAGTGCATCAGGGATGGTAGTTTAGCTCTTGCTCCTATCACCAAGTTCTAATAACTGGTGCTGTCTTTTTTTTTTTTTTTTCCTGCTGTACAGCAAAGTGATTCAGTTATATATTACTTTTATATTCTTTTCCGTTATGGTTTAACACAGGTTACTGAATATAGTTCCCTGTGCTATTCAGTAGGACCTTGTTTATCCATTCTATATATACTAATGAAGAAGTTCATTAAGAAGCCATTTGGCATGACAATAAAAGGCAGACAAAATGAGCCCAATTGATACTAGACCGTAACACTGAATATATTTTCTGGTTATACCTTGTGTTACCTTCCCCAACTCTCTGGGGAAGAAAAAGCAACATTCGTTTCTGCTCTACTGTCTAAAGAGCAATCTGTCTCTACAGCCATACTGTGAGTCTACACTATGTCAATTTCTTTGATATCTACAGTTACTGGAGGAGAAAGGCAGCATTATCTCCTACCCCTTACCTCCATCGAAAGCATGGCTGCTCCATTAGTTCAGTCTGTTAATTTTGAACCCTGAGATTCAAAGATGTTACCCTAGCTGGACCAAAATCCACGTCAGTTTAGTCCACTTGCTAAGCTGAATGGTGGGTATACTCTTCAGTAAACAGATTAGCCACAAAGGCTACCACTTAGTTACCTACAACCATAAAGAGTCAGTGATAAAGAGTCACCGACTTTATCACCATTCTCAAACACAGCAAGCCTGCACAGCCAGTCCTCTCAAAGATAGCTCCTGGTATAAAGGACACAAGTACAAAGGCCATAATAACTTTGACCGCCTGGAAGACCAGGCTCATGGGAAGGGGGAGAGTGGTCAGTGTTCCAGCATTTGTCTGTATATCCTGCTGGTGGTAAGCAAATCTCAGACCTCTTTCCTTTGGTAAGCTGAGAATGCCATCAGGACCCTGCAGGGAAGCACCCAGACTAGACAATAAAATATTCCTAAACCATGGCGATTCACTCTCCTACCCCTTGAAATGCTGACTCTTGCTATTCTTAATCTTGTTTTTTGTTTTGGGAGTCTCTTTCACTGTAGATCCAAACCCTCATGATTTTTACATTTTCCTAGGTCTACCCCTAATTTCTCCCTATCTTGGCTATATTATCTATTAACATCAGTGGCAGAGAATAAAAGTGGCCAAAACTCACTGATCCTACCTTTACTTTTTCTATGGTCACTTCACAATGTTGGTCAGCCAATGTAGCATTATTTAGTTATTTCTCACACTCACCTCAAGTCACCATTTTCTCCACAAAATTCTTCCAAAAGCTTTTCTTACCATTCTTTTAGATATGTATGCCTGTCCTTGGGGTTTAACTAATATATCCTCTTCTGCTTATATTGATCTTCCCAAATGTTCATAATGTAAACTTTGCCTTTTTCCTTTCTCCCCCTCTGACTTCTTCACTGCTCCTCCATCAACTCAGTTTCATGCTGTTATGTTCACATAAGATAGACATTTACACATATACACGTAAAACAAGTTTTTCTAAGCAGACATACAGCCTTACATCACAGGGACAGGCCAGAGACCACCTTCTATGAAAAACTTATCTCTTCACTACATAAAGAGACTCTTGGAACAGAAAAGATGGTTAGTGACACCTAATCGATGTCCTGTCCTCCAAGCTGGACTGCACTTAAACCATAATGGGGAGAAAAAAAAAGGGTGATTAACCTTTTCTACTAAAATAATCTTCCAAGAAGAGTGTTTCTACAATGTTCCTAAGTGATGTATCTCATTATAATTTGAGTATTACCACAAAATTCAATTCAAAGACAGGCATATTGGAAAGGGCTTGAGTCATAGTTGACACACACTCTTCTAGGTCTCACTGTACCAAATGGTTTGCAAAAGAAGAGTGTTACCTATTTTAAAATTTAGAATCCTCCAAAATGTCGGATCTCAGATTTTTTAAAAACCTGATTCAATAATAAAAATAAAGCATCAGTGTGATTACTTAAACATCAGTGTAATTATTTAAACAGACAATATTTGTGAGCATCACTCTTAAGCTTAAATGTATGCTAGGAATGATGCAATAATTTATAACTAGATTTTTATTAAACTCTTACTACTTACTGTACTTACCTTTTATCTGATGAAATTGTTTAACAAGATCTTTCACATCCAGAGAATTATTTCCTAAAGAAATACAGGAAATCAGATACATAAAACTCCCAATTTAAAATGCTTTCTTTTTCAAAGCAACAAATATATAAAGCAATATAACAAACCTTCTCTAAACATAATAAGTTCTTTGAAATAAACTGCTGCAAACTGGGTGATGTTTGGTGGATTGGTCTTGAGTATGGCTCTGCTAACTCCCTCAAGCAGAGTCTTGAGGCCATAAGGTACGACAAGTCTGGGCCTTGCAGAAATCATTCTGGTGGGATGTCTGTAATCTCAACTATAATGAAGAAACACAAAGTCTTATAAATAGTATATAAGGTTTTTATTAAAAATTTACAAGTTAACTATAGCTTCTAAGAACAAATCTATCTCCTATGAAAATCACTAGCCTTAGTTCTAATCTCTAGGTATTTATTCTAGTAAAATGGGCTAATGTTAATAGTAGTTTTTAAGAAAAGAACTCTACTACCAACAACTTCTTATGTGCAGATGAGCAATCTAGTACTATTAAAGAAACCATGGGAAAAGCCCCGCCAGGAGCTCCAGTATGATATTAAAAACAAAGAACAAAAACAAACCAAACAAAACCTGTTTCTATAAAATTCAGTAAATATTTTGTGCAGTAAAATGTCAAGAAATATAAATCGAGCTCATTTATCTGTGTCCAAGAAACAGCCTTCCAAACCATATGGGAACTGGCTTTTCTATACATTCATCAAATAAGAGTTACAAAGTAGAATTTCTACAAGAAAATGTATTTTTCCTCACTTTTCTAAATACATCCCCAGACACAGATCATCCTTAAGTATACATGTTTTAACTTTAATTTTGTTTTTAATATTCATCTGAGTAGTAACTTGTGGTATTATACCACCCACCACCATCCATACCTCTTTTCTCGTACCTTCCCTTAACCTCTGCCATAGTTTTCCTCTCTCCCTTCTTTTGGCTTTCTGGATTTTAAGTGGTACCAAGGGCATTGCACAGTCTTACCTGTAACTCTTAGCTGCAGAGATTGCCACCCTAAACTGTGTCAGTGTATGTGTGCCCTGTTTCATTCTAAAAAATTATTTAAGAGGGCTTATAAATATACACAAAGAAGAAAATTAAATATTTAAGGAACTCAGTTCAGTGGTTAAGGGGAAAAGTATGGTAGGAAAAATAGGATGAAGCCACAGGTAGTGTCCCAAGACAAGCCCCCTGAATTACCAAGTAGCCATCACATAATAGGAAATGGTTGGTTAAATGATTCAGGTTTCCTGAGATAAAAAACCAAATCAGTTGCTTGGGAGAATCACAGCTCTTCTGGGCACTGAGACCCAGGAGAAATTTCTCCTATGGGTCCTCATAAAGAGAAGAATAGTGTGATATAATGAACCATGTCCTCAACAATATCTCAATATTGCTGGGGCCAAGGGGCACTGTTTAGTTACAGCAGTTATACAAAAGGCCAACCTCTAATAAAAAGCAACTAATAGCAAAATGCTGAATATTTTAAAAGCACATTTCATCTTCCTAAAGGTCAGGAAAAAATGAATATCGCCAGAGCAAAACCTTTGAGAATTAAGGGCACTGTATTCGATCGCCTAATGAAAACTATCAGAGTATCATTCAACAGGAGATTTACTGAATTAAACCATCTTTAAAAAACCAGTAGTGCACCTGTAGCAGGGCCCCATGCTAAATGTTAAGGGATATAGGCGGTAATTATATGGATGATACATATTCACTTCATTTATATTTTTTATATATACATATATGTGTGTATATGGACGTATATATATGTCCATATATACATATATACACATATGTATTTTTAAGTACATCCGTTGCACCCCAGTGCGCGTTGAGAGATGGGTCATGATTTGACAGTGGCTCACCGGTAGCCACGACGGAGCTAACAAAACACCCATTCTGTAGTCAGCAGTTGGTGCTACCGACCATGGGGAGAACGCCCACGCAGAGATCCTCGATTTGCCGCACCCCTCCCCCTCCCCAGGCTTTGTGAATGGTGCGGAGCCGGAGCCGTTTAGGGCCCCGGCCCCAGGGATGCGGGGCATCCTACGACGCAGCTCCTTACAAAGAGCTGTCCTCGACAAGATGAGACACGCTGTGACACCGATCCTCAACTACATCAACGGATAAAGTCACGAGTACAGACGTTGAGGGTTGTTTCAAATGACAGCTCACTAATTCTGCTCAAACTTCTCCTTGTGTATTTGACAAAAACACATTTGTCAAACACTAACAGGTTTTACATTCCCCACACCCCGCACCAAACCCACTAACCTAGGGGTTAGCGCCTGAGCAGGAAAACGGTGCCTCTGGCTGAAGATGCGAGAATAGGGGCTTCGGGGCCACAGAAAACGTCAACGGCACCCACCACTCACTTCCTAAACACCTACGCTGGGGTCTGTGCTTGTTTTGCCGTTTGGCTGGCTTGGTGGAAGGGGCAGAAAGACCTGGGAGAGCGGGCGTCCAGATTCCACACCGGCTAGTTCAGCGGTGGTGGCGGCGGACCCGCCGACCCAGACCCCGTACCCCCCGAGTCCGCCACACGCGCGTTGGCCGGCGGTTGCCTCACTGGCCGGTGTGGGCACCCGCCGACCTCCCACTCCGGGGGCCGCCACCTTTCCCGACACGTGAACCGTCCACCAACCCCTCCACTGCGAGGGCCTAACTGCCGCAGGGCCGGGGGCCTTTTCTCCAGACTCGCCCCACCTTCTCCTTTCCGGCTACACTGTGAATAGCTTCCTCCTTGCCCCCTTGCGGGTGGCTCCTGGAAAAAGCCGCGCACCTGGCAGTGTCTTTTATACCTCTGGGGGACGTCACGCCTGCGTCACAAAGCCCCGCCGTCTCGCTGAAGGCTCCAGACGGCCTCGGAAGGAGGCGGGGCCTCGGCGGCCCCAGCCAATGGGGAACCGAAAAGGACAAAAGCCGGAACTCGGCAGACCACTGTGGTGGGCTTCGCCTTTTCCGGCAGAATACAAAGGGGCGTGGGAAACTGACGTTTCCAAACTGCCGGGAGTCAGTCCAGGCGACAGCCTCTCCGCTTTGAATCTCTCGGTCTAAAATAAGAACTAGCTTGGAAAGAAAGAGAAATAGATTTACGGCAGTTCTATCTTACTGCCACCGCATACCACCACTCTTGCCCCCCCCCCATAATCTGTTGCTCTCTAGTCACCTTTTTGAAGAATAATTTCTGCCACCATGTACACCACACTGGTACAATATCATGCAGCGCAGTACTTCCCTTGAGAAACTCGCCTGCCGAAAGAGAATCTGGCATTGATCCTGAGTCTTTCTGTCTCTCCGTAATTCTGGATCTTGCAATACCTCAGGCACGATGTGTCCTCCCCAAACCATACCATCAGGGGCAGGTTGCAAAGTCGACGAGGACTGTGTATAACTTCAGCTCCGTTTCACCAAAGTAAAGGAACGCTGACTCCTTTAAAATACTCTGCTTTTTTACCCATTCAGGTTCTTATTTGTGCTGGGCATTAAATACCACCACAGTCACGATGATCAGACTCCAAGCAGCTTTCATTGTCATCCATTTCCACATGTTTAAAAGGCAACAAGAATCACTGTAAATCAACCGTTAAATAACATCATCAGGGCATAGAGCTGACAAAACATTTTTACGTTACAAAAAATTAAGACTTCCAGAGCACTTTGCAGCAATAGGCAATGTTGAAGCCCCAGCCTACATCTATGCCGCACACGGCATTTTGAGGATATTAATCCGTCCATTAATTATTACCGAGTGCCCATTATGTGGCAGACAAGCCCCCATTTCTCATGAAGGTTACGTTTTAAAAGAAGAAGGGCTTCCCTGGTGGTGCAGTGGTTGGGAGTCCGCCTGCCAATGTAGGGGACACGGGTTCGAGTTCTGGTCCAGGAAGATCCCACGTGCCGCAGAGCAGCTAAGCCCGTGCGCCACAACTACTGAGCCTGTGCTCTAGAGCCCACGAGCCACAACTACTGAGCCCACGTGCCTAGAGCCCATGCTCTGCATCGAGAAGCCACCGCAATGAGAAGCCCACTCACCACAACGAAGAGTAGCCCCCACTCACCGCCAGTAAAGAAATCCCGCATGCAGCACCGAAGACCCAACTTAGCCAAAAATAAATTAAAAAAAAAACACAGTAAAGAAGAAGTGCTCTCTTTTAGACTTTTAAGTGTGATGTTAGAACTGCAGATGGTATGCTTTTCGGTCTTCATCACTGCCCCCGCACCACACTTTGGTAGTGTAAACAAAAGTGAAATGAGGGTTTGGTTTATAATATATTTAACTATCAAAGGTGTAATGAAACTGAGCTAAGAACCCCAAATACAAACATTAGACATCCCACGTATGGTGACTTCTGGAATGAGAGACACATACCCTTGTGTCATCTAACCAACCTTGGTGCGTCATCTTGAACGCCAATTAGATGTTATGTGCTGTGCCGAATACCTGTTACTCAGAAGGCAAGCCTGTACTCTTTCCACATTTCTGCAATGACTGTTCTGTTCAAGTTGCTCTGAAATGCAAACTGTTAACAGTGAAAACATCTAACAAAAAATTTTAAAACCACTATGTGCTGCTTTGATTTCTAGAACTCCTAGTGATTTGATGTGGCTTTACAATCTTCTTGTCCTTGTGTTCATCTCTTTCAGTCACTAGGGATCTAACTAAATTGCAAATCTACTTCGTTCTCCATTGCTCCCTGCCCCTCCCCACTTCAAATACTTACTCTATAGAAGTCCAAGGATCACGCTGTGACCTCTGTGTAACTACCTCATCTTACCATTTGGTTTCCACTTCACTTTCTAGAGACCTGGCCTGAATACACATGCTACCTGTCACCTCTGTGCCTTTGCTCATCAGATCCAAGGCCTGAGACATCCTTCCAGCCATCATTTTAACTTGACTGCATCCTTCTCCTCCTTTAAAAGTCAGCTCAGGAATCTCCTACTTTAGAAAACCAATGGGTTAGAAGCATTTTTTTCAGTGGCCCCATAATATGCATAACCTTGCCATATGTTTGGCTCTTCTCTCAGATTTACTAAATACTTACCAAAAGATGATAACCCCAGGGCAATGTCTCTCTAATGTAGACCACCTGCATTAGAATTAGCCAAGGGCCCGTTAAAAATATCTTCCTAAGCCCTACCTAGAGCCTACTGAATCAGAATCTCAGAGTACGGATAATTTGTAAAACTAAAACTTGAGAACCACTAGCCTATGGGAGGAGAAAGTAAGTGTAATCCAGAGTTCAGCTAAGTTACAAGTGTGTTGCTTCTATTGAATGCCCCAGTCAACTAGGAACTAGAGCTCAGCTCCCTTGCTAGTTTTCACACGTTAGCCAATCGTGTGATTTTTGCTCACTTTAACTGAAGGGGCACATTTTTTATGGACCAACTTTCCATTCTCTTGCTCCCCCCTCCCCTGTCCTTTTCTTTCTGTATTTCCTCTTTCTATCTTCAAGTCCCCTCCCTCTACTATGTATCTTGTTGGGAGGATCTGGGCTTAACAAGATTTTTTTCCACAAAATATACAGGAAGGAAGGGAGGGACGGACGGAGGGAAAGAGAGAGAAAGAAATACCAAACAGTACATTATGACTGTGTGACCATATATCTTCATAGGTAAAGGAGCCATATTTGAATACTTGCCACCACAATCTGCTTAAGGAAGCAATCAACTAGGAAAGTTTACATGGCAAAGGCATATATGTATGCACACACACACGTGCATATGTGTATGCGTATATTTTAAAAATCATGTATGCATTGTCCTTTGAGTTGGAAGAAAGATAAAAGTACAAATTCTCTAAATAATTGACTTATATGAGACAATAAATATTCTGATTTTCTGTGACATCTGAAAGTAATAACTCTTTACTCAAATACTTAGCTATCATATGCTGAAATCAAAAAGATACCTAATCCAGTAAAAGTAAAATCTTAAACACGTTAATCACAAAGATGCATATTACATGATTAGTACTAGACGATGCCCCAAAGTGCGTCAAATTATAAATGTGTTCCGAGTACATAAAATACACATTAGAGATTTCTCTCATCACAGGCACAATCTAATACAAAAATATATCTGACACTTATAAATTAGAAGATCCATTTGACAGCCTCCAAAACAGGAAAAGGGGAAGAAGTGATGCCAACATAAAAAAGCACACATAGATGCAAATAGTTCTGCTTATATGATTATTTTCTTCATCAGCGAGGGGTAAAAAGCAATTTACACCGAACTGGTTTTCCAGACAGATCACAGTAATTCACAGGTTGGATAAGTCATAGCACGAAGGCCAGAACCGTTATGAATTACTCAACTAAAAAAAATGTACTCAGATTTCAGTGAATCTAACAGTACAGTGTACTCACAGCGTGGTTTTGTTATTTTAGAGTCTTCAGAACCACTGTCTACCCCTTCTCCGTGCTTTACCACCAGGTTCCCAGAAAAACCACAGGGGCTATCCTGCATCAAACCTAGAAGAGACAGTTTATAAATGCACCTGTCCTATAAACATACTATTAACAAAGACTTACTGGACGGTGTTCTAATGGTGTGTGTTCAGTTAAGTGAACTGAACACAAACTTATTTGAAATCCTGAAATCTCTCTGGAGAAATAAAAGTTTTTAAAGCAGTTAATATAGGAATTTTTTTTAAAAATTCTGAAGTATGGGGCCTTATGTAATCTCTCAATACTGAAAAATAGTTCAAGCAACATTTGAACTGAAAATTCAATTAAGTATGAACTCTGGAGCAAAAACTTCATGATTCTAAATGTTCCACAATCATAACTGAGAAGTTTGCCACATATACTATAGCCAAAAAGACAACAAAATGGCAAGAGCCATATTTTAAAGATTCATAACATTCTTCCCTTCAGCCTTGATGAAACCAGGTATCTAACATTTTTAGACGTAAATTTTTCCTTTCCGAAGGCATCTACTGATACCTGACTTCTGGGTCTTCCCGTTCGTGAAAGTAGGACAGAAATATTTTCTCTCTGGCTAGCATCTAAAATCCCTGCAGCAGTCAGGCTAGAAAGAAAGTCAATGTTAATAAGCATTTTGGAAGTGAGAAAACATGAAGATAGATTAGCCAAAATCAATGAGGAACAATCATTTCTTTTGAAGAAGTTATTATTCCCTCAAAACCAGATGAAGTAGATTAAGGCTGCCAACATTCTAGCTGCTCCTTCCATGTCTGTTTTGAAGAGAAATATTTTAAGGTACTGACGTCGCATGAGATCATACTTCAGCTAAAAGGATATGTAAATAAATGACACCCCAAGATGATATTCTTTATTGCAACGTAAACTTTAAGAAATATCTAACCTTAAGATTTGAGCCAGGTTAGGCACACAATTATGACAGAAATTCTTAAGTGACTGAGGTATTTAGAGTCTTCAAAACCACAGGTGTGCAGTACTGAACAAAGAGGTAAATTAGGTGACAATAAAAATTAGCAACGAAGGATTAAAAAATAACTTTGAACTCTGTTTCCAATATCAATAACCTGAGCTAAGGGGAAAATGATTAAATCCTGGCAATAGACAGTCCAATGAATCCTTCATCAGCAAATATTCTGAGGCAAAAGAATCTATGTTCATTCAAGAATAACCTTTTCAAGTAATTTGTTGAAAGATTTCCAAAAATTGGTAATTAGACAATTTATCATAAAGAAAAGGAAACACGAAAAATGTAGGTATTATTTATCCAGTCTATAGACTAGGTCTTCTAATAAATTAGCAAAATAGCTATACTTTCGGTTGTAAAACAATCTTCTGTTTGCTTTCACTTGACTGGCTGTCAAAGGAATAAAAGTGTCTGTCCTTTGAAACATTTTTGTAGACAATCTGGAGATAAGGATGACAACTTCAGCTGAAGAGTATTTGTTTTTTAATAAGAAAACATGGAATCCTGGTTATTAACATATATATATATTTTACAATGAAAGAATATTCGGTCTGTGGTCAGGAGACTTGCATTCTATTCATTACTCCATAATAACAGGAATAATTAATTGCGATAAGTCAATTAGCCATTTTTGTGCCTGAGTTTCATTGTCTGGACAATGGAGACATCTGTGCTATGTCATTCTCAGAAACAGTTTGAGGATAAAGTAAAACACTAGAAAGCACTTTTATTTTTTCAAAACACGATATAAGTGCTATGTCGTGATACTGTTAATAATTTTACAGGTACCTCTTAGTGTTACCCAGTCAGATGTGTGCTTCAAGTAGGCATTCCTACAAGATTGCAGGTTGAATATTTAGTTGAATTTTATTTAAAAAATAATAAATCACAAAACTAAAATGTTTGAACAAGGTCACTTAACCCTCTCCCCAGGTGGTTAGTTATTATTACTATTATCATCATCATTATTACTTTTTAGCTATGTGTTTAAAAGAGGAGATCTTTAATACATCAACCTAACTGAGAAAATGTGTCCCAGGCCCAGGTGGTTTTCAGAAGAAAAGCTGATCTTCATAAGAGCTGTGTCCTCTACTTTTAAAGTGCAGAACCTGTGTGGGGAGGGACAGAGTGGGAACTTCGGGTCTGTCACTGAGGAACCAATTCCCTCATCGAAGCCAGAGCAGCATGGATGCGGACGTGCAATCTGTTTTCAAAGTCGTAGCCAGAGAAATCCTCCTGAAAGACAAGAGAAAGAGAGTATTAGCTAAGCTGTCTGTAATACTACAGTATTAATCACACCAAACTTTGTACTGCCCCAAGTAAGATTCCTTACACTCCTAACAAAGGTTTCGCATTCACTTGATTTTTCTTATTTCCCAAACCTCAAGCTTGGTGTCCGTTTTTAAAATGTCAACTGAGCATTATTAATGCTGTCTTTGGAAAATTTCCCTCATGTTATTCCTGGGACAGCAGTCTTAACCTGGGCTC